TTTCCAGCAGCTAATTAGCTGGTCCACTGATTCTTCCACTTTTTATTCTTGTCTTTGCATCAGGGTTGACTCCTGATGACAGCCTGGAAAATCCCTGCAATTTTCTTGGCAAAATTTTGAAAGTGGCTTGCCATTGTTTTCTTCCTATGGCTGAGAGAAAGTGACTGCCCAAGGTTATCCAACTGGTTTTGTGCCCAAGGCAGGACTAAAACTCACAATCTTCCAGTTCCTAGAGTGTTGACATAACCACCAACAAAATTACCATTATTCCTACTGTCAGAGGGGCAAGACATTACACTCAAGCATTCTTCATCATGCCCAAATACACATTTAATTGAGAGACCCCTACCAATTGCCATCAGCAGCCATGAAATCATGAAAGGAAGCAGCAGCAGCCTTTCCACTTAATTAGACCCAATCCTTTCATTACTACATGTGGAACTAGTAACCAAGAACTAGTAACCACTTACTTTTTTCCTCTGACTTCTGTTTTCCTTCTGTATTGTCCCTTTCTGATCATAAGCTGCAGCCAACAACTTTTGGATTTCTGATCATGGTACCAAATATTTGGAAGCTTTTTAAAATTGAATTGTTGGGCCATTAGTAATATCTAAACAGAACAACAGATCCACAGGCACGTGGACTAGAAACCAACAAGGCTAGCAGTAACTTAAGGACAAATGAAACAATTGGGAAAGGGCTGTTCTGGATTTGCAAGGCAAGGCTGGCATTATTTTCTTTCAAGGCATAGCAAACATGAAAAGTACCATATTTTTGGACTATAAGATGCTCCAGACTATAAGATGCACCTAACTTTTGGAGAGGTAAACAAGAAAAAAAAAATCTGCCTCTGCCTCCCAGCAATTTCCCTCCTTGCAGCAAACAGCAAACAGCCTTGACAACTTCAGCACAGCCTGATTTAGCATGAGCAAGCTGACTGATGGTTAGATCAGCCTCCCGGAATACAGACGACCAGCTGTTCCAGGCTGCGGGGATTGCTGCCATCCATCGCCACCACTGCCAATCACTGTCTATCGCCACCTCCGTGCACTCCATTTTTGGCTCATTCTAGGTAGCTCTGATGCCTGGAATGGGCTGAAAACGAGACATGCGGAGGCCAAAAACGGGATGTGCAGAAATCAGCTGTTTGCTGCAAGGAGGCAAATTGCTGGGATGCAGAGGTCAAAGGGTGGAGGTGGGTGGGGCTTCGGTAACATTCGCTCTATAAGACGCAGACATCTCCACCCATATTTTTTTTTGGGGGGGGGGGGGTGCGTCTTATAGTGTGAAAAATACGGTAATTACAAGTAGTCCTTGATTACAACAGTTCATTTAGTTAGTGACTGTTCAAAGTTACAATGGCACTGAAAAAAGTGACATGACCGATTTTCACAGTTACAACCTACACACCATCCCTATGATCATGTGCTCAAAACTCAGATGCTTGGCCACTGGTTCATATTTATGACCACTGCAGCATCCCAAGGTCATGTGAACCCTTTTTCAATCTTCTGACAAGCAAAATCAATGGGGAAGTCAGATTCACTTAACAATCAAGTTATTAACTTATCAACTGCAGTGATTCACTTAACAACTTTGGCAAGAAATGTCATAAAATGGGACAAAACTCACTTTAATGTCTCACTTAACCACATATGGCTCAATTGTGGCCATATGTTGAGGACTATCTGTTCTATATGCATACGAGGTGTCTGCAGTTCTGTTAAAAATGTACAGTCTTTGCATGTTTCAAGGGAACTCAGAACCAAGTATTCCTACTCCTATGAAATTTAATGACACACATTAATGCTACTTAATTTCTAGAAAGAAAGGAAGAAACCAGGACTTGCTCTGTCTTTGTCCAAGATCTAATCTCCTACAAGCCTAATAATGCAGGGGGGACGTGTCTTTCCCTGCTAATTTGTTTCCCGAGAAGGAACTTCTTTTTCATTGAAGAAGAATATCAGGTGTGCAACGTAGACGAGCGAACTCTGACACTGAGCAAACAAATTCTTGCCCTGCTCCTTTTTCTCAATGCAAAGAAAGCAAATACAGTGGCAGAAAAGATGAAGCACAACAAAAAGCTGTTCTTGATTCTAAACATTGGTTCTTTAAACTTTCCCCAGATTTATTACTAATACATGGTCTGTAAAAAAATTAATGTAGTCCTCCAGCTAAAGTGGTTCACTAGTGCTGCTCTCATCATTTCTGTAGTCACCTTATATGATTGACATTCCTTTATTTTACTTAGTTTTTCTGACTAGACCCCAGCCCAGGGGTGTCCAAACTTTTTGCAAGGAGGGCCAGATTTGGTACGGTGAAAATGTGTGGGGGCTGACCATTCAGCCTGACATTCACAGGAACTGCTGTACAGTGAAGGAAAAAACACCAGCTGGCGGGGATGAACGACAGGCTGAGCTGGCAGGGAGAAGAGGCTGCAGGCCGCTCAAAATTTGAAAACAGGCCACAATTGGCCCCCGAGCCGGACTTTGGACATGCCTGCTCTAGCCTGAGGTTATTCTGATTTTGAATTGACCCTTTAGATTTGATATCCTACTCTCCAACCCAGCTAACTATGATAGCCATCACTAATTGTTAATTAAAACTGATGTATATTGGGTGAAATCTAATCAAACCAGAACATGGCAGAGATTCTCTAAGAGAAAAGCAAAGAGAGGTCAGTCTCATTGGGAAATCTTGATTGGCCAACTAGAAATAGGGGTCAAAGACTCTCACTGTATCTTATTAGGCAATTTAGCTCTGAATGTAACAGAAAAGATAGTATCACCTGAAAAGATATTGTATTGTCAGAGAAGCATTTGGGGGAAGGGAAATGATAAGTCAAATAGCAAGGATTCTATTACAAAAATGGATTTAATCTATCTTTTTCATAATACATATACACAGAAAAAAATCACTGGCTGCTTTCAGCAATTACCAACACAACCTGAAAAGAACATAATTTGGTTCTGAACCTAAAAATACCCAACCCAATATCCAGCACTTAAAGCAGTGGCAAAAATATTTTTTCCAATTTTAAGTCAACAAATGTAAACAATGTAAAGTTGAGGCTATTGCTTTGAATTGAAAAAATAACTTTTAATGTAATTTTGTTTGAGATCTTGCAAGTATTATAAATCTGCCATCTACAAAAACTGTTCTCCACTAAGCTAAAGTAGACTGAACATTACTGGATTTATAAATAGTTGTGTGAATACTGTAAAAATTACATGATTACAAGTACACAGTAGTATGGAACACACAAAACAGTAAAACTAATCTCTCTACTTGCAAAATATTATCCAACCTAAACAGCAAGTCAATCTTCTGAAAAAACAATATTACCAATGATAGGCATTAACAAATGCAGTGGTATGCAATAATATTTTGACCCTTATTTTTAATACAGAATTTGGAAAATACCTGCATAACAAAACTGAGAACTCCTTTTATTCCTGAGAGTAAACTTAAACTTCACCAGGCAATATCTAACAATGTCTAAGATTGTCAGCAAATGTCCAACTTGAGCTTCTTTCAACACTTTCAACACTTCAGTTCAAGACACAAAGTATTTACTGTTAAGTGATAAACATTTTCGGAGCAGGAACATCTATCTAGTCATAATAAAATACATGCTTTGCACAAATGCACTTCATTTGACAGGAACCTTCTTTACTATTTGCTATTACTATTTACAACAGGCTTAGTGTCAACTCATAAAATATTCCTGTGGTTGGAATCCTGACACTTAGGATAAGAAACCTTTACTCAGCATTTGGCCCCAAATGTTTCCATACCAACACTCTACTGAAATTCTGCTAGTAAGCAATTAGTATACTCATACTTTAGAGACACCTACAGGCATTGTTGAATTTAGTCTTCCTCCACATACACCTGACTTTTCTAAATGTTTCCTTTCCTTAATTTCTACAAACTACCCACTCAGTTCATTCAGCGAGGGTCGGCAGACATCATCAGATAAAAACTTATCACAAGCTTTCGATTCTTGAAACCTACACAGTACACAGCCAAAGTAAAAATAGTTCAGGTTCACACCCACATTAGTGTTGCAGCCTCGCCCCATTCTTTCAATTCTCTGTTTCAGTCCACTCAACAACCACATACTCTCCTTCAAGCATGTCCAGGCACTAAGCGTAAAATCAATTTATCAACACTGATTAGCAACCTACCCTGGAGACAACATTTAACATGCTAAAGTAATGGAAAGGTCCTAATTCGGTGTTCTGAGCTTTCTTTCATGGAGCTGTTCCATTTAATTCAGTTGTAAAGTCTTGAAGCTCCCTAAAAAGTCACTCACAAGATATAAACAGGAAATGATTGGCAATTACAATAGGTTTCACAGACCTGCCATTATCAAATAAGTTTGATAAATGGACTTCTCATTAAAACCAATTTTTCTTAGTAAATTAGTAACTAGTAGTAATGCTAGTAATATTAACACTGCTTAACTAACCTAGTTGGTATGTTACAGTGTTTTGCTCTGATTTGCAATGGTGCTAAGCTTTTTTATCTCATTACTTTTTAATGTTTCCCTTCTCCTTTTTCTTTCCTTTCTTGTTAATTAAAAGCAACATTCATCATTTTGATCTGAAGGAAACTGATCCAGAAAAACAATCAATACCCTTTGCATCTTTAGCTATGGTTAACAGCTCTGTAACAGAAGCCAACATGATTAACAAGGGAGACTTTAGGAAAAGAAATTAATATTGGGAACGATTTATTTCTGCGATTAGTGAATAAGTTTTCAATCGCGGAAGGGTTTTAGGCAAAGCCTCAGGGCTGAGGAAATACCCCCCCAAAACTTGAGGGACTAGTGAATTTGAATCAGAATCATTTTGGAGAAAGGATGAGCAACTCTACAAACACTCAGCAGCTCTCCTAACTTTCGCACAATCACGGCTAGCCAACGGAGCAAATCCCAAACAGTTCCTGGAGGCTTCAGCCTCAACCCCCCACCCGTATTCTCCCGCTTGCTTGACCTGGAGGAGATGGCAGAGGAGCACCGGACACGCTCGCTGAGGTCACAGAGTGCCTGGTATTGGAGGTCGCGACCCTTCTCACGCTCCAGATGGCAGGCGTAGAGCGAAAGAATAATCCCGGCCAGACACACGACGTAGCGGGCCACCCGCTCCCAGCGCGGCACCGAGACTCGCAGCAGGACGGGCGCCGCCATCTTAGCCCAGCCCTCGCTTAGGCGGACCCGGTAGAAGACTCCCCAACCTTGTGCGCGCGCAGGGCACGCCACACCACGCCGAAATGCGGAGGGGGCGCACCGCTCGTTTATTGGCTCGCCGCCGTAAGGAAAACCACGCCCACTTTCTCCTGCCATCGGCTGCTTGCCGGGCCATGGGTGTTTCTCCTTTTTTTCCCTGTTCCGAGCAGAACGTGGCGCTTTCCGTCGTAACAGAGGCGAAACCGGCTGACCAATCATTCGCGAGCGCGGGAGGCAACCCCGCCCACCTGCCTCTTAAGAATTAACGGCATCGCGAGACTTGCAGTTTGAAACAAGGAATGGGAGTGTTGTATCGTCGTCTGGGTTTGTTCCTTGCTCTCTCACAAGCTGCGATTTATTGTGTTAAGATTGCAACACACAATAGCTCAGCTGCTCAACTATGGCTTATTGAATAAACGAACTAGCTGAATCAAATGCATTGCAGTAGGTCAGAACTGGAGATTTCAAACTCCTTTCCCAGAAGTGCTCTGGCAGTGCACATCCTAGCCCTGCTTCCGACCTGGAGTGTGATTTTATAGTTTGTTAGAGCACCAGGCTAGAAACTAGGAGACTGTGAGTTATAATCCTGCTTTTGGCATGAAAGGTTCTGCTGGGAAACTGGGTCACTCTCCCATTCTCTCTCTCAGCCCAAGCCACCTCACAGGGTTGTTGTAGAGCAGGGGTGTCCAACCTTGGCAACTTTAAGACTTGTGGACTTCACAAGTTGAAGTCCACAAGTCTTAAAGTTGCCAAGGTTGGACACCCCTGTTGTAGAGAGAATAGATGGATAACTATAATAGATAACTAAAAAGTGTTAGTTATGTTCACTGCTGTGAGTTATTTATAAAAATACTATAAAAGGTGGGATATAAATAAAGTACCATTCATTCCAAAGGAAGAAAAAGAGCAGCTCGCTCATTTTCTCTCAGAATTCTCTTGCACTGTTTTCAAAAATATCCTGTTTTGCAGAAAGGGAGAGATTTGGACACTAACTTTTGTAATCTGTGAAAGGGTTGAAAGGGCATCATGTAGAAGGCGGAACCAACTTGTTTTGGTAGGACAAGAAACAAGGGTTTAAATAATAAAGTAGATTTTGGTGAGTCGTCAGGAAAAAAAATCAGCAATGGTACAGAGTGCCTTGCGGGGGTGCTAGAAGTGTTAAAACACAGGCTCGATGGCCATCTGTACCATTGTTCTATGTGCTTTAAGCAGGAGATAGCTTGTCAACTAATTAATGAGGAAACATGGAGGTAAAATTTGTGACTAGAACTTGAATAACAGCCTTATTTGTGCCAAACAAAGATGATTCTGCTGATAATTTCCAGGACACCTAGTGAAAAGTATTCACCAAGGGCTTCTCTGTATTGTTTTGGCTTGTCTTTGTATTGTACATTTTTATGTACACAATTCTACACAAGGAACAAAACCCCAAGGTCTTGTTTGTAGAGTAACAGACTTTTCAATATTTACCTGAAAGTTTTTATTTTTAAAAAAATTAAAAATGCACTTCTTTCTCATTTGCAATTAATGACTCCCATATAGAATGAAAATTTGAATTGTAATGATACTTTAAACAGACTTAAATTAACAGCACAAATCATAAATATTTTCATCTTCTTTATAGAAGAACTTTAGGAAGTTTAAGATGTGTGGACTTCAGCTCCCAGAATTCCAGGAGTTGAAATCTACACTTCTTAAAAGTTGCCAAAGTTGGTCCTCAAGTTTACAGCAGTTGATTTAGAGACTGTTCAAAGTTACAACAGCACTGAAAAAATTATGACCAGTTTTCGTACTTATGATCACTGCAGCATCCTGATGGTCACATGAAAATTCAACCGCTTGGCAACTGACTCATATTTATGACACTTGCAGGGTCCTGGGGTCATGTGTTCTTCTGACAAGTCAGCAGGGATGTCAGATTAACTTAAGGACCATGTTAACTAACAACTGCAATGATTCACTTAATAACTATGGCAGAAAGGTCGGCTAAAATCACTTAGCAACAGAAATTTTGGGGTCAATTCTGGTCCTAAGTTGAGGACTACCTGTATTGTAGATGATAGATTTGCAGGTCTCCCAGTTTTTAACCTCAGAACTGCGTCACCACGGCAACTCCGAGAGCAGGAGAAAGGTGCAGCATTAAGATCCGGCTTTGTGACGCAAGCGGGAAGGACCCGCCTCGGCCGCGTCTATAATGACTGGACTGAAGCGGGACAGCAAACATTTCGGGGCGGAAGGCGAAGCCCAGGCGCCGCCATGCGAAGCGGACGGAGCGGCTCAAGGGCGTCCGTAGTACCGGCGCCATCTTCTGGGTCAGAGGACTCGGAGTGGGAGGAGGAGCGCGTGGCGCGGCTGCGGGAGCGGGCGTGGCGCGATGGCCCGCGGGGTCCCGGATCCGGCGGGAAGGGCCGCAGCCGCCGCTCCAGGGAACAGCGCACCAATTGGCGCGTCCCGGCCGGTCACGAACGGAAGATCACCGCCAAGATTCGCGCTAGCTTAGCTAAACGTCGCCTCCAGCAGCGTCCGGGGAGAGGACCTAGATCTGCCCCGCTGCAACCCAGAAAACGCGCAGAAGCCAACGCTAAGGTGTGGGGCTTTGCTGGCGGATCGAACGAGCATCGTCCCGCTCTCAGCCTTCCCCGATCTGGGAGCCTTTCAGATGAGCTATACTGTCTGCCTTCCCCAGGCTGCACGGCTGATAGTCACGGGAATAAGACTGCCCCCACCCCCCCCCCAGCAATAGAACTTATACACGGTTTTATAGTGCTTTACAGCCCTCTCTAAGCGGTTTACAGAGTCAGCATATTGCCCCCAACGAGCATGGTGGGATTTGAACTGTATTTTAATTGTTAATTTGAACTGTGTATTAATTATAGGCAGCTGGCTGCAGAAATAGCTTGCAATACAGCCCTCTAACCACTGCGCCACAGAGGCTCCTTAATTATATACCTGCCCCCTTTGTATTCTTTGCGTTCCCCTGCCATTTCGAGGGGAATAGAATTGTAGAATCACTCAAGGCAAGAGCCCTATATTATCCCAGGCAAATAGTTGTGTCAGGTCTATTTTGGAAAAACCTCCAGTGATGAAGCAATGATTGGGAAAATAATAAGGGAGCTTTGACTGTATTTATAATAGATATGCTGCCCGAAGCCCTGTTCTCATCTTCCCCAGTATTTCTGATCTCTCCAAAATACACTTTGAGTGTCTTTCCCTTTCTTTTGGCAATACATATACAGTACATTCCACTTCAGTCTTAAAGGACCCACAATGTAGATCAGTGTTTCACAGCTTTCCCCATTACCTGGTTGGGGAATTCTGGGAGCCAAAGTCCACACCTCTCAAATTTGCTACGTTGAAAAACACTGATACAGATTTTCCTTCTTCATATGAGTTCCAACCAGTCCTAATTCTCTAGCAGGTGGCTTCCTGGTAAAATTAGGAAGTTGTTACTTGATAAATGCATGTGCTTTTCAGTGTTTTACAAAATACATTAGTACTATTAAGCTCTTCCTAGTACAGTTCTGGAGATGTTTTCATTTTCTTGCTCATCTCATTTTGATACCATTAAAAGAGGATAGAGTCTAAAATATCCCTTGTGAACTATACTGCTGGTACAATCGGCCTTCAGGAGTCTTTCATACAGTGAAACCTTTTTAAATTCGAAAACCAGCTCTTTGGTTGTTCAAGATTGGAATGTTTTCCTAAGTAAATAGGGATCCTGCCAAATAATGAAAACATCTAATTTCCATGTTTTCACATAGAGGAATAAAATGCCCTATGCAGATACGCCCTTTGTAGGCCAAAATGAAAAGTTGCCTTCCCCTGCTGTTGTATTTCTCATTCCTGCTCCTTTTGGTTCTATAGATGCAGTCAAATAATTATTTAACTGCACATAAATTCATAGTCTTATCTTGAATGGGTACCCTCAACGGCTCCAATAAATGCATTATTTCACCAAGGCAGTAGATCTTGCTTCCACAGGTCTATTGCTACCAACTCTGGGCAAGGTTGGGTTGCAGATTCAAGGCATCTTTTGTTTCTTTTTTTTTCAGACTCCAGAAATGGTCACCTGCTGAGCATCTTTTCTCACAATCTGACTGCAGCTACTCTGTAGCTGAAGAACCTCTCTTCAGTGTATGCTGCTGTGTTTCAGAGTCTCTGTCCACTTCAGTTCCCTGTTGTGTTACCTAGAAACCATTTCTTCTCAATAACACCAAATCTGGGCACTTCTGTTCCACTCTTAGCATGATTATATATTTTCCATTTTTATCTGTGAGATAACAGATTACTCAGGTGTCTTCAGATCACGCTTTGAAAATCATTGCTCTAGGAAAAAATAGCTGTTCTTGATATACCTGAGTGAAGAATTGAATGATTGGACGAATTGTTGCCTTTAAAACTTAGGCACACACGTTGGTTTGGAACTGAAAAGAACCTGGTCCCTGAATTTAGGAGAGAGATACTATTTTTTGTACAGTTACTTACCCCCACGCCCAGTATGAATCCCAAGTACTTCATGCAAAATGAAAGAAGGTTATTAAGGCAGTAGTGTCAAATGATACATTTGACAGTAAATGTGATGCATTAGAAAGCAGATTAATAAAAATATTGATTAGATGTTAGAAGTCAGGCACTCTTAAAAAGCAATGGGGGAGTCAAGTCTTTATATAGAGTACAGAAACATAATATATTCAGTATATATGATACATCAGAAAGCAAGTGATCAGACATTGACTACATGTAAGAATTGAACAATAGAAAACATTGATTCTAGAGAATGTTGGAAGAAAAATCTGCTGGGGTTCCAAGCTGGGAGAAAGATGCTGGAAATAAAACGGAGGCTGGCTTCAGGGAAGATGGTTTCAGTTTGCTTGGATGCCAGAAACTTCAGTGACAGTAGTATGTTTCTGGGGTGGCTGGCAAAATGGGGTTGAGGTAGGTGGGCTTTTATACATTTTTTTGGAGCTTGATGATTGAGGTGTCTATTCCTTGTGAAATGTATTTT